GATGTTAACTATACAACCGTGGAAGAGTTCATCAACAAATATGTCTGAGATATATAATTGCATGCCGACTAGCTAGGGCCATCCCCATATCTCTGATGTGTGTTGCTGCTGTGTATGGCTTACTAGTTTCTTGTTTCAATGTCCTAGTCCCGGCCAACTACTTTAGTTTTCCCTTGTAATGTTTACATGGATTATTAGCCATGTAAATCCATGTCATAAAATGCCATATTTCGAATGTAACCTGTTTCTTTTTTGTAATTTGTTCTAAAGTAATAATATCAATTCCATTAGCGTTTTGAGTCTTCATATTTCCTTAAGTTCTGTATCTTATACCTAATTAAGATCTCCATTTTTCTTCGGAATCTTGATAGAAGAGCTAAATTAATTAGGGGTTTGGTTGTTATTGTACTTCTATGAGTATCTAACACTCCAGTTCTAATTATTTCTGTGAGTAAACATTTCACATAATTTAATATAGTGTTTGTAACAGTTGGAAAAGTCATGAATTTTAGAGTTCTTTTTTTGCTTTTTAGGTATTGAAATTTCCTGATTTGGCCCTACTTTCTCAAATTTCCCAACCACCTAAACGTTCGGCTAGGTTTACTAAACTATCCACACTCATTGAAAGCAACTAGAGGAACTTGAAAATGATTAGTTAGCTCAAGTAAGGAATTCAATTATCCATACCTTATGTATTGATACACATTTGCCTATTTGCTACCTCCCTTCTTTGTCGGTTAAAGGAACATGTAAATCTTCATCCTCTTTATTCTTTTCTCACTTGTTGTTCACTACTCCGTATTATTTAATATGTTTTTATTTGGACTGAAATTTGTTGGTCTGGTCTGAAATTTGTTAAATATTTTATTAGTCTGGTCTGAAATTTGTTAAATACTTTATTAGTCTGGTCTGATCTGAATTGGTTTTGTAAATGTCTGGTCTCTGTGTATTTTATAACTATCGAAGTCCGATCTGATCTGACCTAATCTGTTATGTCTGGTTTGATCTAATCTAGTCTGTTTGAATTTGGTCTGATTTGATCTGGGACTGAAAACACCGCAAGTAAAAAACGTAATTTACGAAATATACAAAAATTAAATGTACAAAACGGGTGGTAGATGTAAGGCCTTTCAACGCTCACTCCATGTGTTTTAATTTAGTGATTCAGTCTTCTATAATTATAAAAAGGAATTTATTTACATGAATTCTCGATTCCTCGAACTCCATTTTTGGTAAATTGTTATAGATAGTCAAATTAAATAACATTATATCATGATGAATTTCCACAGAAATGTAAATTTACCAAATTTGTAATAGAAAAAATGAGTTCGCGGTTTATATATAAAGCCCAATTGGTATTTGTGAGTTCGTCTCGATGACCATTTTGCATTTGTATTGATGGTTAATTCTATTTTACCAAAACTCCAAGTACGGTAGTGGGGGTGAGCAAGGTCCGGTCCAAATCAATATTTTGTCGAACCCGTATCCATACTGTGACAATTGAAACAGTTCGGTTCGGTTCGGTCTTAGACCTAAACCGTTCGGTATAGTTTCATTTTCTAACGGGACGATACCATGAGCCCGTTTGGTAGCACCAAAATCGGCTGTTTTGGCTGATTCTGCTGAAATTTATGATATTCTGGCTGGAGTGGCTGTTTTGGCTGATTCTGCTGATTTAAGAAAAAAATATTTTAAAAATATATTTTATTAATAAATTAAAGAAAAAATTATATGTAAAAATAGCTAAAATGGTCCTCTACAGTAACTTCAGCCAATACAGCCAGAAAAATAACTCCAACCTTACTTTTTCGGCTTATTACACAATTCAGCGCGCGAAAGTAAAAATTACGTGTTTGGTGAAAAAGCTGGCTGATAAGCCTGATAAGCCGAAAACAGAGTTCTCCAAACGGGCTCCATGTCATACAAATATCAAACAATGACTTTCCAATTTTTAAGGCGAAATTAAAGTTTAGTCATCTTTCAAAAGTCCGCACAATTTATCAATTTTTATAATACATAATTAATATGTAGTAAATTTTTGATAAACTATAGTAGTACAAATTTAAATAATTAAACCATACTTCGGTCTGGTTCCAACTTCTAGTGAACTAGCAAATGTTGTGAAAGTGCGAAAGCAATAGTCAAAGTAATGGTATAATTGTAAATTTAAATAATTAAATCATATTCCGGCCCGGGTACCGGTTCTCATAAAATGAGAACCGGTTATGACATTATTTGGAACCAGTACGGTCTGGTTCGGGACAAAAAAATTGAAATCCATTTCAAACCCGTTTTTTTATCGAGAACCATACCATTGTGATTCGGTACCATGCCGGTTTGATATTTTTGTCCACCCCTATACGGCTATAGGGTAGAATTGCCATCTAACAAAAAAATTGAGAATGTGTAAGCAAGACTTAATAGTTCCAAGTGTTTCTTTATTTCTTTCCCATTGCTTTAACTATTCAAAAAGACATTGATACATTTAGGTGCTGTTCTGTTCGTCTTATTCTTATTACTTATTGCTTATTCTTATTTTATTCAGATCAGATCAGATCAGAAAAATTCAGATCAGATCAGATCAGATCAGAAAGATTCAGATCAGATCAGATCAGATCAGAAAGATTCAGATCAGATCAGATCAGATCAGAAAGATTCAGATCAGATCAGAAAGATTCAGATCAGATCAGACCAGATCAGAAACATTCAGATCAGATCAGAAACATTCAGATCAGATCAGATCAGAAAAGTTCAAACATGATTTATCATTTTTATTATTATATTAAATATTAATTATTATTATTAATATTGTTATTACTATTATGATTATTATTATATAATTATTATTAATAATATTAATAATAATATGATAAAAAAAGATATTAATAATAGTTATAATATTTTAATATAATAATAGTAATATAAATGCAATTGTTAAGAAGACTATTATTATTATTATTACAATATTATAATAATAATAATAATATGATTAATATTATTATAATATTATATTATAATTATATGTAATTATAATTATAATTACAATTATAATTCGTATAATTATAAGTATAATCAATTGTAATTATTATAATTATATCTATAATTAATTATAAATATAATTGTAATTAATTATAATTATAATAATTGTAATTATAATTACAATCATAATTATAATTATGATTATAATTATAATTATAATATAATATTATAATAATATAATACTAATTATAATAATAATCATATTATTATTATATTATTGTAATAATAATATTATTATATTATTGTAATAATAATATTAATATAATAATGTCGTTATAATAATATTAATTGTATTTATATTACTATTATTAAATTATAATATTATAATTAATGTTAATATAATTATAATTATTATTAATTATAATTATAATAATTATAATTATACTTATAATTATATTATAATTATAATTTATGATTATAATTATTATTTTTATTATAATTATTAATATTATTATTATTATTATTATTACTATTGTAATTATTTTACGGAGTAATTATAATAATATTGATAACTATAGTTACAATTATAGAGATAAATATTGTAATTATAATTACAATTATAATTATAATTTTATTTAAATTATATTTGTAATTGCAATTATAATAATTATAATTATAATTATAATTATAATTATAATTATAATTATAATCATAGAAATATTCGAATCAGATCAGATCAGAAAGATTCAGATCAGATCAGAAGGATTCAGATCAAATCAGAAACATTCAGATCAGATCAGACCAGATCAGAAACATTCAGATCAGATCAGATCAGACAGATTCAGATCAGATCAGATCAGATCAGACAGATTCAGATCAGATCAGATCAGATCAGAAAAATTCAGATCAGATCAGATCAGAAAAATTCAGATCAGATCAGATCAGAACTTAAAAAATTCAGATCAGAAACATTCAGATCAGGCGAAGAGAACAGCTTCTTAGTTACTAGTATGTTTAGCCAATTTATTTGTGACGTGAAGCATTGGAATAAAAACACATACGGAATAATTTTCTTATTTTCCCACTTCCCAGATTGAAAGCGCCACATTAAAGTTTTTACACAATTTAGAAATATTGAAACAAGGCTTAAATTGTTTTGAAACTCTTATAAAGAAGATTTGTTTCCAGTTCTTCTATGGCAGTTAAATTAGACGATATGTTGAACAAAAAAGGACTACTGACTTCATAAATTAAGAAAAATGTTTTGAGATGTAGAACAAAAACATAACAATTTAAGCCTCTTTTAGAAAATTAAGAGCATTTTGGTTTTAAAACGAACTTCACAATTTGTGTATTTATGGCATTACAAGCCAAAGCTATTAAAGTTTAATCGAAAGAGGGATGCTTCAAAAATTCTCAAGCGCTCTTCGTCTTTGTGACATTATATGAGTGATATTTTTGTTTCTGAATGAAGGTTATCTTGATCTATTGAAGGCCTACAACAACATCCAAGCTAATTGAGGATTACTGCAGCGATTAGCTATGAATCCTATGATCATAAAATTAGCTGGGAAGATAAGAGAGATACGCACGGGATAGTTCGGAGATGAAACATATTCAATAATCAGCTGAAGTCAAAAGACAAACACTATGGCACGTAGCGTTTTGTTTCAGTCCAATTTATCGATTTCCACTCAATTTAACCTTTTGCCCTAACAGGTCTACTTTAACAATTATTGACTGAATTTACAAATTCCAACCCATTATGAGCCGAAACGGCCATGCTATTTGCATAAATAAACGGGTTGGATCAAGCTGAGAGGATTAGCTGCAGCTCAATTCATAACCAACGCAGTTAAAAGTGGGTTAGAACTTAGAATGTTTAAAAATGAATATGGGTTGGCTCCTATTAGGTTGGGTTGAATGTGTTGGGTTGTAGCCTTGTAGGCGGGTTGGACGGTGTGAATAGGTCAGTAGGTTTTTTGTGCAACACGTAAATGAAATGCGGGGTATCATTTTGCGGGGAAAATGATCATCTTATACCTTATACTTTTATAGGCTTATAAGTGAGCTTCTTAATAGACTTAAGACAGCCTTAAACAACGACAGTGGAAGAAAGTAGTAATCTAAAAACAAAATGGGTAAGACAACGGTCCATATTGTTTTGTTACATGGAACATTCTTAAGAAGTTCCCCAAACGCTAAGGCAGCTCAATGGATTGCTCAACTGTGACGAAAACAAGAACCAAAATGAACACAAACCACACTGTAAAGGCAAGGGGAATTGGAAACTAAAGTAGAAATGCATGAAATTTCAAGTATAGATATCATATGCTTGACTTGCTTAACTAAAGTATACACTAACTCCTGTGTAAATAAATAATGCATCAATTCAACTACACTTTTGTAATACCATGTTCAAACATACCACAAACGTACATAATTCCAGCATCTCTTCTTTCCCATCTAATCTAAAGAAAAAATGCACAATTTTAGTCCCCTCTAGGACTGCTTCTACCTGCTCCTTTCTTTCCGCCGTACTTCTGTTACGTCATCATCAAAACAAACCATTGTAAGTTCCTTAGATAGGGTGACTTTGGTTAAAATGGATGAAGTTTCAACTGCAACTAATGAGGTTAAAGAACTTAAGTTATCTAATTTTAATATATTAAAGATATTAAAATGTGACTAGGATTGTCATTTTATTCATTTTAACAAATTTGACTCGGATTTCATATGTAGATTCATGTTAGCCTGATGTTGTTGTTTGTAGCAACTTCATCCAAGTAATATCTACTGCAATTATTGTCAATTTATTCATTTTAGCAACTTCATCTGAACTAATAACATAACCATTTTTTAATTTTAGTTTGCATTACTGACTAATCGAGAAACCCACAAGACCAAGTTACTATTTGGTAAATGAGCTACTTGGTTTAGCTGATTATATCTCACTCTATCATGCAAACGCTTTGGTTTGATTGTTTCAGGTTGAACCTAGGTTCTCCAAACACCATGGTTCACTTCATTTGTTTAGTATTTTAAAATGAGTTATGCTACAAGTACATAAACTCTTACAAAAACTCTTACAAAAAAGTTATGTGGTAGCATTATATTGTTTAACACATCACATCAGTTTTACATCAAAAGTGATTGCAATAGCAACATCACTTGTTTGTGATTTTTTTGTAAGTTTGTACTTATAGGCTTATAGCATTTTCCTTCGAAAATAAGAACCTTGATTTTCACATGAACTAGATCTTTAGAAAACCAGATTTACCTCAGAGAGCCTCCAAATGTTCCAATAACTTGATTGGAGAGAACCTCTAAATAAGTGATTTTCGGAGGTTAAATTTTCTTTAAAATAAATTCTAATATGTTAGCCTAGGTTAACCTCCATGCAAACAACCCTTTTCTGAATTCTAAACGATTTAACATAATTATTATCCAACATTTGTTTAGTTGAACTTTTGTTCAGCCAGTTCTTACAAAACCTAGTTCACTTACGTTCAGCAGGTCTACTTCAGTTCAATCTATCCAAAGGTGTAAATATCACATAATCTAAAACTAAACAGACCGTCACACATAGTGATTGTGTTAGCTCCAGAATTCCAGCTCTACCTAAATGATACCAAATAATAAACTAACCTGCTTTCCGATGTTAAATGGGATGTATCTATACTTGAGCATGTGTGTAATTTGGCGCTTCATAGTGAGGGTAAAGAGAACAATCCAGTAGATCAACAATATTGGCCAAAACACAGGAACATCAAACATGGAGAAGAAAGTCATGACAAATGCCACACAGAAAGCCTTTGTGATAGCATACCTAAATCAACAAAGTTAACAAAGGCCACCTCTAAACGTTAATTTTGAAAAAAAAACTATCCATAAAAAACATATAACTATAACAAAAACAATCACAAGTAGCTGACACTTGGGGAGACAAATACCAGAACTTGAATTCTGGGAGTCGGCGAATGAATGGTTTGAATTCATCTGAACCTTTAGTAGGGAGCATAGGACCATCTGAAGGGTCAAGCTCCGGGTCAACAAGAGGTGAAAGAAAACCAATCAGCAAATTGAGAAGGTAGATTCCCAAACCGTAGCTCACAATGTAGAACCCTTGGACATAATAGACCCTCAAAACGTAGAGAGATGCTAATACAGATGTTCCAATCCATCTATACGTAGCATGAGGTGTACTCTTATCTAAATAAAACTGGTAAATCTTAGAAAATTCATGCCTCCGCTGATTCAGTTCACCTCCAACGCCCTCCATCAAATTATCAGCCCTACACAGATCCAACATAATGAAGTAGATCTATGACTAAAATTAAACATGTATATCATAAATCCTTTTATTTGCGAATACATTAGGGATTCATATCTTAGGAACATTAACAATCGACGACCAGGAACAGCAACAAATACAAAAACGATTTTTCTTGGATTAGTGAAAATAGGAAGACGTACCTTGGTTGGCTAGAGCAGCTGAAACACTGTGATATTGAAAGAAATGGGTGGAGAGAAAAGATATCGGAGAAGACGATCGGAGTGTATATATCTTGTTATACTTTACCTAGAACTAGAACTTATCAAAAATAAGCCCAGGAGGTTCTGTCCTATAATCCGTATTCGAGGAGGGTGAAATTTTTTGATGAATTTTGTGAGGTTCTGTCCGATTTCAAAAATTCATTTGACTGTTTTCTCGGTTGAATTTTTAGCTGAAATTCAGTAGGACTAAACTAGACTTAATGAATAAGATGCTAAAAAAATTTCATCAAAAAATTCCACTGTGAACCTCCCCAAATGACGATGACCGGACGGAACCTACTACAAAAGGGCTTATTTGCACTTTTTTTTATTAGTTGGAGGGCTTATTGGCCCCTTTTCCCAATTAAATAAAGGGCTTTATTAAAAAATTACTACCCTCCATGTGCATACTGTGAATGAAATGCACGTGAGTTCAGGGGCGTAGCTAGGATGGATGGTCGGGTTGGGTCGGTACAAAGAATTTTTCAGATAATTTTTTTTCACATAAACTTTTAGATTAAAAATACAAAGAATTTTCAAATTTGGGGCGGGTCGTGGCCCGGTTGGCCACCCCTCTAGCTCCGCCCCTGCGTGAGTTTTAAAAATTAAGCAGAGGAATTCCTTTATGACCATTTTTTCCACAAATATTATTAAATTAAATTCAAAAGATTAAAATAAGATTTATTTAAATTTTTTCCAAAAAGTGACGTATTCGGTGACTTATCAGTTACTTATGACTTTGAGATACAATATAATGACGACTCATGTTTAGTTACTTGTATGAAGACTAATCATATTTTCGTCTGAAAACATAATTAGTCATATTTTTTTCCGGAGAAAGTCCGTTATTAGTAATATACATGTCATGTTTTCTTGTTTTATAATTCTAACCTCCAAAAAGTTAGATACTGAAAAATTGATCCACAAAAGTAAATATTAGATAAAAGATAAAGTGAGAAAGTAAAAAAGTTAGTAGAGTTCAATTTAAAAAAGTAATCATAATTTTTGGACAACCCAAAAAAGAATGTATCTTATAAAATGAGACAGAGGGAGTAAGAGAGTGTTTGTATCTACTTCTTTTAACCAGTTTAATTTAATCGGCATTTTGAGTTCTATCTGTTCGTTTATTTCCTAGTCTTATCTAGATATGTTATATTTTGTGGCGGAGTATCATCTGCTAGATAATGTTTCCCAACATCTTCGGTTGGGTGTTCTTATGTTCTAGTAAGAGATTTTATTGACTTCTTCATCAATCATGAATCAGGATTGCTTCTACATCAATATTGAGTCTGATTGCCCCCTCCTAAACCACAACCGATTCAGGAAGACATGATTGCATGTATTGTTTTTTTCAATGGTTGGTGAAACTGAAATAAATTATGCATTTGGCTCCTTACCGGTGGCTAGCAAAACTAGGAAATTTAATAGGTCTTTTTTGGTGGCTTGTCAAACTCTATTTCTAGTAGCATGAGGAGTCACATTGCGCTATTAGTCTCAACCTAGTGTAACATTAAATGCTATGATTGTAATGTTACGATTTTTATTATTATGTTTCTTGTTACTCTTATCAATAATAGTTAAGTTGTTTTCTTTCAAAAGAGACTTAAATAATTGCTTGTAGCAAAGTTCCTGTAGCAAATTTGCACAAATTTTCTATAAATAATTAAACTGAGTAGTTTAAACATAAAACATGACCTTCACATGCTACACATTACAATTTGACAAAACACGGACAAATGTATTTTAATGTTGCAAAAAAATATGTCCACATTCAGCATGCAATGTCATCCCAAAAACTTGCTTCCTATTCAACCGCTGAAAATGTCTTCAACCCATTCCTTGACAAACCACTGCTTCTCCACGCTGCATAGGCTACACAAACATAACCCAAATGAGTTTACAATGGTCAAACTGAAACAAATGTTTACATTGAATACTTTAGAGAAATACTTTATGTAAATTTTATTAACTATAAACTGAAATAAAGATGTTATGGACTTGATTCAAACTGAAACCGCTCCATTAAGTATAAACTGAAACCACTTTATTATTAAGTATAAACTGAAACCACTTTTTTAAGTATAAACTGAAAGCACTTTTTTAACTATAAACTCAAAGCCACTTTATTAACTATAAAATTAAACCAGTTTATTAACTATAAGCTCAAGCCACTTTATTAACTATAAACTCAACTCATTTTATTAACTACAAACTCAAACCAGATTATTAACTATAAACTCAAGCCACTTTATTAACTATAAACTCAAAGCCACTTTATTAACTATAAACTTAAACATGTTTATTAACTATAAGCTCAAGCCACTTTATTAACTATATAAACTCAACCCACTTTACAAACTACAAACTCAAACCAGTATATTAACTATAAACTCAAGCCACTTTATTAACTAGGGGTGAGCAAAACCGACCCTACCCGAAAAACCCGATCGGGTATAACCGATTTTGTGTGAATGGGTCGGTTGACCCGACCCGCCAACGAAACCCGACCCGCTGGCCCGTTAAATTTGGGCCGACTAATAACGGGTAGGGTGCTCCTAAAGCCTACCCGACCCGCCCGAAAACCCGATATAGCCTAAGCCCACTACCCACAAGCCCAATAGCCCATACCCATTAACATATTACCCATAACCCATTAACCCAGCCTTATTTCCCTTATCCCCTATTTCCCTTCTCCGCCACTCCGGTTAACCCTAACTTACACTCTCTAATCTCTATCTCTCGATTCTCTCTGACTCTCTCTAAGTGGCTAACCCTAACTTACACTCTGACTTCTCTCTTCGTCGGCCGCCAAGGACCGTCGCTGTGGGGCTGTCATCTTCAACCTAGTGGAAGCATTCATCTAATCATCTCCTTCTAGCCGAGCGTGTTGGTTGTGTCACTTGTGTGACTCAGTGATTCTGTGAGTAGTTGACACTTGAGACCGATTCCCGATCTTTGTTGTTTGAGCCGTGAGGTATAAAATACTTAAACATTTTCTCATGTTCGAATATATTTCTCAAAGTTGCATGTTGAGATCTTCACACTTGATTTCTGAGTTCAGTCATGTACAGATCTGATTTCTGAGTCGCATGTCCCTGTTTATTTGATAATTGAAATATGAATGTCGAACTGTGGAAGCTATATTATAATATTATATGTAGTCTGATATTCATGTGTTGCCTACTGTGGAGATGTGGTTCGGACTTGTATACTTGAGTTTAGACCTGTATGGTTGTATACTTGATTTCTGAGTTTAGACCTGTATACTTTGAAATGTGGAAGCTTGGTGTGGAGATGTGGTTCACTGGTTCTGACTGTGGAATGTATATATTCATGTGTTGGCAGATATTCATGTCATCAATCATCATGTGTTGCCTATTCATATGTTTCATGTGTTTCCAGTCTGATATTCATGTGTTGCCTATTCATATGTTTCTTCCGTGGAGATGTGGTTCTGACTTCTGACTTGTTATACATGAGTGATGAGTTAAGACCTGTATATACATGAGTTTTGACATTCACTTGCTGATTGTTTCATACACATGTTATGATTATTATCTGTGAGATATGATCATATGAACTATGTGGAATAGTGGAAGCTCAGTATGACTGTGGTATGTGGAATTGTGGAAGCTTAGTGTACATAACTGTGAGATATGATCATATGAACTATCATGTGTGGCTTACTTGTAATGTTATCTGTTGTACATAACTGATTAACTGCATTCTTACTTTTGTGAAGAAGCCTTTTTGTACTCTACTACTCAAACGAGTACAAAGAGTGAACTGGTTTCTTCAGAGTCTGTAGAGAAGTGAAAAAGCAAAGTGCTTTTATCCTTCTGTAAATCAGCTTGCTGATTGTTCCAGACTTACATATTATCTATGAGATAATAACTATGTGTCTATGTGGAAGCTAAGTATTAAATTATCATGTGTTACTGTCTGGTCATGCTCATTAGATGGACCCTGAACAAAGTGTGACCTTTTCTACATCTGGATCTCAACCTCCTCTGAGTCAAGAAACACTGGTGGAAGGTCAAACTCCTGAGCCTAACATTATCAATGGCAATGATCAGACTGCACCACCTTCTGTTTCTGGACAAAAGAGAAAAGTTGTAGAACCAAGATCTAAGATATGGGAGCACTTTGTCCAAATTAAAGATGAAAAGGGTGTGGTTATTAAAGGCAGGTGCATATACTATGCAAAAATATACTGGTGCCACTCTAAGAAACATGGAACTTCCTCCATCAGAAATCACATGCTTAGTTGCCTGAAAAACCCTCATGCTAAAGACACTAGACAGGCCCTATTAACCTTTCAGCCTGTCCCTGCACAGATAGGTGAACCCTCTGCAAATATTGGGGTCCTAGGAACTTGGGTGTTTGATCAAGAAGCTATTAGGAGAGCTCTAGGTGTAATGCTAATCATTGATGAGCTTCCTTTTAGCTTTGTAGACAGACAGGGTTTCAGGAATTTTGTGGCTGCAGCCTGTCCTAGGTTTCAAATTCTTTCTAGATGGACAATTGCTAGAGACATTTATCAAATATACCTTGATGAAAAAATGACTCTGAAAAGGAATTTTAGGGAACACACTCAGAGAGTTAGTATAACTACTAATACATGGACCTTTATTCAGAGGATAAATTACATGTGCATTACTGCTCACTTCATAGATGATCAGTGGAAGCTCCATAAAAAAATTATTTCATTTGTCCCTGTCACCTCTCACAAGGGGGAGTACCTTGCTAAAGCCCTAGAGAATTGCTTACTTGATTGGGGTCTGAAAAGTATTTTTACTGTGACTGTTGATAATGCTAGTAGTAATGATACAGCTGTTGGTTTTTTTAAGAAAAAATTAATATCCTGGGGTGCTTCTTCTGTCAAAGTAAAGTATGTTCATATGCGTTGCATTGCACACATCTTGAACTTAGCAGTACAAGATGGTCTTAAAGATGCAGACACTTCTATAATGAGAGTAAGGGAAGCTGTTAAGTATGTTAGGAACTCACCTGCTAGGCTTCAAAAGTTCAAAGATTTATCTGATTTGATAGGAGTGGAAGCCAAGTGTGGTCTGCACCTGGATGTTCCAACTAGGTGGAATTCCACTTACC